TCAGTCCCTCTTCCTGAGCTCGATTCAGAAAACCGTGATATCAGAGGGAGAGCGGGAGGTGAAGAAGTATTACGACCACAGGCTGTGAGCAAACACGTCCACCCCTAGCGGTGGATCGTCCCTTGGCTCCATGATAATTATAGTTGATATTGATCGTTCTCTCGTGTTGCAACAGGTCCACAGCCACTCGCAGGATTTCTGCAGCGTCTGAGCCATCAACTCTGGATGGAAGGTCCCCGGTCCCCGTGCCGCAAAGGACCATCTTTGGACATCACATCCGTCCCCTGTTCAGAACACAGGAGATGTACCCTACTCCAATGGAGAGCAGATTGGGTGTGCCCCACACAGCATCTGTCTCACAATGTGGCACATGGGTTGAGAGCATACATCTTCTGCCAGTTATGTATGCAACAGTCACTTGCTGTCTGTGTGAATCAAAAAACCCTGATGATTCTGAAGCACAGAGGCAAAGTGTTGAATCACATTCAAAAACCCTGTGCGACACTCCAAAAACATTTAAATGAGCTGCTGTGTGGAGAACCACAGCGCCTCCAAAGCTCATTAAATGTGTGTGCCTCTGTGAAGTCTGACATGTGTGACGTAGGTCTGCTGACGGAAAACAGCTGATATCACTCAACCGGTTCACGTGAGTTGCACTGCTGCCACCTGTCTGTACAAACTGCTCAGCAGCAGCAGATGTCCAGATAAAGCAGAATTCTCCTCCCTGCTCTTTGTGACAGCTGCAGAGCGGCTCGGCGCATTAATGGAATGTTGTTTCTCACAGTTCAAAATTGACAAATCTAGAATAAATCTCATCTTTCCGGTTCGTTGGGACCAGGGAGTGACGAGAGAGGAACCCTGCGTTTTTCTCTCCTTCTGAGATTCTGGAAATTACATTAATCAGAATTTCCAGAGCTTCTGCGAGAGGGGGCGATATCTGTTCTAGAAATGACAGAAAACGTCACTAGAGTTCCTCCACACCGGGGTTTGAGCTGTACTGTAGAGTGAATCCCCGGATGAAAACGGTTCGCCTATCTGTCTGGAGCGCGCGCTCATTGCCACTCGTTTATAAAGTTATAAAGCAGGCACGCGTTTATGCTGTGAACTCATATGCATGCTGATGTGAGCTGGTGCGCGCTGAAGGAGAAAGAAAAAACGTGCGCCCCCAAGCATGCAAATTGTTTGTGCGTTTGCTGATACTGCGGGACGCAGCTCATCTGTGCTATGCTCACGTTGTGTGCTGCTGCTCTGTGTAAACACTCGGGGAGCGGGTGCACGTATGAGCCGACGTGCCCTGAAGAGTCGTGTGTGCGCGCCCTCATTCATGCGACGCCTTAAGCGAGGATTTCCGCGGGAGCGCGCGTTTGACGCTTGTGCGGTCAGGAAGCAGCGTGCGGCATCCGTGGGGCGAGGTTACCACTGGGCTCGTTCTGCAGAACACGTTCATTCTTGGCTGCGAATCACGTGAGCTTTTGAGTGATTCCACGAGCTGCAGTATTAATTCAGAAAACCTTCTTCGAGGATGAAGGAGCGGAGCCGCTGTGAGGCTTGTGAAACTGTTGATGCAGCGGGAGCGCGCGTTTGACACCACTGCGATGAAAACGCGTGTCGCTCCTAGCGAGAGCGAGATACGTTACTGGGCTCGTACCACGGTCTCACGTTTACGTTGACGTGAACAGCGGGTGCTGAGAGCTGCGTGCGCGCTTTCATAACGCAGCGCCTTATAGGTGAAGGCTGCTCGTGCTGCGGGAGCATGTGTTGGCACTGCCGGCAGTGAATGAAACAACCTTAAAAGGCTCATTCATGATGAGTGTGTGTGATGGGGCCGCTTGTCAGATCATCCGTGCTGACAGCCTGGCTAAAAGACACTTCAACATAAAACGATGTTTATTTCCACATCGTGTCATCAACACACATCCAGCAAACCGACACCTGGTCTTCCCTTGAGCTCCGTGGTTTGTTGTCCTAGAGGGCCCCCTGTTGGCGGAGTCCGGGAAAAGTTGAGTTTCCGGATGCCGGGGACGTCTGACGGGAGGGACTGGCGTAGCAGAGCTGGGGAGGCGTTGTGCAACCGTGAAGCATCTTGAAATGATCTCTTGCTGATGTGGGCCCTCCAACCAACAAAAAGCTTCTGCAGCTACCCTGAGAGTAATGTGGAGTGACGAGCCAGGAGAACCTCTGGGACCTCGTTCTCCGGCTGCGACGCGGGCCGGCAGACAGTAAAAGAGGCACACCGGTTAGGGATGATGTCAGCTGCCCTGCAGACGGAGCATACTACAGGGGCCGACAGCGCCGTTAGCAAACAGCCACGACGAGAGCGGAGCGAGCCGAAGGTCAGAGGGCCCACCGTCTCTTCCCGCCTCTGAACGTGTACGCCAACAGCGTAACGTGTTGTTCGCTGCGACCATCTGGAACACATGCTAGTGAGCTCAGTTGGAAAGCGGTGTCACCGTCTGGATTACGCTAACTGGAGGCACGGAACGCTGGTCCACCTGGACATCTTGCTCCGATGAAGCCTCCGTCAGGCTCGGCTCCAGGGGGCACTGAGGGTATTTCCGCTCGGTGAATCCTTGCTCTGGAGATGGGCACGGACTGTGGAGACCGGCCCCCCAATCTACCAGGAAAGCCGGCTGTGTCCTCGCCCGTAGGACGTCCTGTTGGGAAACCGAGGCCAGATGGATCAGGACGGTGAGCCGGAATGGAACCTAGAAAAAAAAACCTTCCCACTGGATCATCCAAACTGGCGGGAAAGGCGCGGGATGTAAAAAAGGGTCCCTTCATGCCAGCGGCTCCTGGATTACGCCGGGCAACCCCAGAGGGTGCCGTCGGCCGGGAGAAGTGTGATCGCCAATGTGAAACGAGGTGGGATGAGGTGAGCATTCGCTCAGCCCCCCTCCACCGACACTACGCTCTCCAGGAGGGAATGAGCAATGGGGGGCAACAGCTGACGTGGCCTGTCCCGGAGAAACCATCCGATTCGCTCCGAGGGTCGGCGATAAGAAGAAAATTACAAGATGGCGTTGTCTAGCGTGTAGCGACCTGTCACTGAGAAATACTCCTTGGCGCTTACCTTGAAACAAGACTGCTCGTCAGCTTCTCCTCGGGGACGAGAGCTTACTGGGACAACCGGAGGTCGACGTGATGGGCCAAGCATTCTTAACAAAGGTTGGTCATCTACACAACTTTCCTTCTTCGTTCTTCTGAGAGTGCTATTAGCTTGCTGAAGGAAAAATGGGAGCCGATTACCCGCTCTTAACGTAATTTATATGGACCGGGTGGGGCCCACACAGCAGGTGGGCGTGGACTAAATTTTTCAGTGCAATGCTTTGCATATCGGGATAAATCCATCAGCGACAGCCTTAAAGGGCGAAGCCTATACGAAATAGAATGCACATTCGCACTACAGGCGGCTGCAGTCCAAAGTTTTTCTGCACTAACAATAGTTATAACATAGTTTGTTGTTTTGATTTGTTTTGTTTTTTGAATGTGCAGATGGCCAGATTTAACTCTTTTAGACAGCAAATAAGGAGCTCAAAGCTAAAAATAGAAAAAAGCTGGTGTCTATCTCCAGAAGTTGGGGGATGTCCTGTACATATCTCCAGTCCATCATAGGGACACATTAACAAAATACTCTAACTCACACCTAGACTTAGAGTTATCATTGTACCTAACATGCATGTTTTCAGTTTGTTGGAGGAAACTGGAGTACCCGGAGAAAATCCACACACGCACGGACAGAACATTCAAACTGCACACTGGAAAGGCAGGAAGACAGTCCTGGGACCTTTTTGCTGAGAAGTGACACCTCTAACCACTGTCCCACTGTGAAACCAAAACAGTTAAATTTAAATAATATATAAATTTCAATAATTTAAAAAGTCAATAAGTTACAAATCTAGCCTTAGCACCATCTCCTAACTGATCTGAACTAAAGTATGCTGATGGAGTTAGATGCTGAAAAACATACAAATGAAATAAAAAACAAAAAGGAATAGGATGGTGTGAATGCTGACTCATGTTGGGTTTTACCTCATTATGCAGCAGGAAGAGAATTCCTTTATACGATAGCAGTTTCATTTCCAGATCAAACCGTGGATTTGGTTTTTCTGCAGAGAAACTGATCTCAGCAAAGCCTGTTCCATCAAAATATGCCGCTTCGTTCACCCAGGCTGGGGACTGCGTCGACTTGGACCTGTTTGTAGAAATGTTGTTACAAATGTGGGGGGAGAAAAGGAAGAATCAATTCAATTAAATTCAATTTAATTTATTTAGATAGTGCTAAGTCACAACAGTAGTTATCTCAAGGCACTGCACAGAAACATTCACATACATAAAAATTCAGTTAACGTTATTTATCTAAAGTAGCTAGCAGACTGCCTCCAAATGAATTAACACACCAGGGTCCCAGGGGCCTCATGTATCAAAGAGCGCACAGGTTCCACATTGAAAGTTGACGTGAAGGCAAAACTGGCAAAGTGTGTCTGACATATTCACGTTTATCAAACCATGTGTATGCCTATTTCTGTGTTCCTTTTCTTCCTACAGCCTAACAAACATGAAACTCAGCCAAAGTTAGATTACACCCACATGCAGCCATTTAAATATAGAAGCAAATATGTCAAGTGTGTGTAATTCTTCTCTTTGCATGATCAAAAATTATGTCTAGATGAAAAAACATGAAGAAATGAATGGAATGTGAGTAAGAAGCACTTGTAAATAAAAAGTGGGGTATAAACATGTTTGCCACATTAGCTTACAGAGGAGTGTTTGAGGGAGCATAAGATGGACTTGGTTCGTTAAGCTGCGTTCTGCTAGGCTCCCGTCATCCCTGACTGCAAAGCTGCTTTTTATGATTATATTCCCGCTGCCTCCACATTGGAGTCTTCCTCTGAGATTGGTATCGTTGCAGGATTGAGTCGATGGAGCTGTAATATGGCCTCTAAATAAAAAAAATCTAAAATGTCAGTGTCTTTGCCTGTGCAGTATGGAGACCCAGCTACAGCCTCGGTCCCCGGTGATGCAGGAGCAGGTGCAATGGCCCTGCCCTTGCCGGGCTCTGGAGAGATGGTCGAGTTGGCTCTGAAGTCAGACATTCTGGCTTCAATTAAATCTGTACTGTATTGAATAATGACCTGGTAATCAACGGATTTAACATCTATCAGAGTCAGAGTCAGAGTTTCTTTATTGTCATTCGCACCTCATGTGGTACATGTGGTGGAACGAAATTATGTACACAGGGTCCCAGTTACATCCAACAATAAAATGTATAAGAAAAACAGTAATAACATCTAAGATATGAACTAAGAAAAACATCAACTCAATATACACTAAGCACTCATAACATAAAACATTGAACATCAGCACAAACATGAACATGAGTCTGTGAGCAGATGTGCACGCATGAACACATCAACATTGAAACAGATCAGCAGCAACATGAAACAGATCAGCAGCAACATGATATGGTTTTTCACAGTGATTATTCTAGTTAGAGATTCATGAGTCTAACAGCCTCAGGGTAGAAGCTGTTCCTCAGTCTAGTGGTTCTACATTTAATGCTCCTTAACCTCCTTCCTGAGGGGAGTGGGGCAAAAAGTGTGTGTGCTGGGTGAGTGGGGTCCTTCATGATGCATGTGGCCCTCTTCCTGCATCTGGAGGTGTAGATGTCTGTGATGGTGGGGAGGCTGACTCCAACAGATTTCTGTGCAGCCTTCACCACTCTCTGCAAAGCTTTTCTTTCTGCAGCTGTGCAGCCTCCATGCCACACATTGATGCTGGAGCACAGGATGCTCTCCACTGCACACCTGTAGAAGGAGGTGAGGACTGAGCTTCCCAGACCAGCTCGCCTCTGAGGAAGTAGAGTCTCTGATGAGCTTTCTTGATCAGGCTGGTGGTGTTGTTGCTCCAGCTGAGGTTGTCATTCATGTGTACACCCAAGTACTTGTAGCTGGAGACCACTTCCACCGCAGATCCTCTTATATTCAGGGGGGTGTAGGTGTTTTTGTTCCTTCTGAAGTCCACAATCATCTCCTTTGTCTTCTTCACATTGATGTGAAGGTTATTCTCTCTCTATCACTGTGATCATCAAAAAAAAAAGGGGGGGGGGGTCGCTATTTACATCAGAGATTCTCTGGTTTCTAGTCGTGTGTCTGCTAAAACAATCCCAAACCAGTTTGAGGCATTAGCTGTAAACATAACCTTGAATGGAGGCCAGATCTTATCTGTAGTGGGTTGTTATCGTCCCGCCTCAGCAACACCCTGAGGCTCTGTCCTCCCTGATTGAATTCCTTGGAAATTTAAAATTCAAAGAGCTTTTTTTGGCAGGAGATTTCAACATTGACTGGAATAAGTCGACCCCCCCACTGTGATAAATTCAAGGAATGTTGCCTGTCTCTCAATCTAAACCAACTGTCACGAATCACGTCCCATAGATTATATTTTCTGTCACCCTGTTC